TGATCCTTGGATTTTACATATGATAAGTGGAGTGAAAATTGATTTCCACAAAATACCACCAAATCATTTATCAAGAATCAACCCACAAATGAAGTTTAAAGAAGATATTCTTGCAACAGATGTTCTGGTCAGGGATCTTCTCAGACTGAAAATAATACAAAAACAAGAGTGGCAACTGGACTTGGTGATCAACCCAATATTTTTGGTAAATAATCACAATGGATCCTATTTTCTTATCTTAAACAGCAAGGCTGTGAACAAAGACTGCATACCATACAAGCATTTTAAAATGGAAAGCTTAATAACAGTACTGCAAGGAATCCAAAAAGGAGATTTAATGACATTGATTGATCTCACAAAGGGCTATCACAATGTTGCCCTCCATCCAGACCACCAAAAGTACTTTGCCTTCAAATGGAAACAAGAATTGTAGATCTTCACAGCACTGCCAATGGGTTTAAGAGAGGTACCCAGACTATTTACAATTCTTATGAAAGCTTTGCTGAAAGTTGCACGTCAGAAAGGGATCCGTGTACATGCGTATATTGACAACACCATAGTGGTTGCACAAAATTTTCAAGAATGTTAAGAACATACATATACTTGCCATCAATTACTCCTTGATGCAGGATTTCTTATTAATGAAGAGAAATCACGATTGATCCCAAGCACAAGAAGAAAACATCTTGGTTTCATTATCAACAGTGAACTGCAAGTTCTGGAAATCCCTGAGAAAAAGTACAACAGACTACAAAAGGACCTAAAGATCCTCAAAAAACTGTGCAAAAATGGAAAGACAATTACGCTACAAAAATATTCACAGATCATAGGATTCCTGCTCAGTTGTATACCAGCGATCCCCTATGGGGAGGCTCATTTTATTCCGAGGATTTGAAAAAGTCAAGGCAGATATGAAACAACCAATTGTTGATTGGGAACAAAACAATTTCATCCCAAAACATCTTATTCAAGAAATTATATGGTGGAACAACCTGAAACATCCATGCAGAAAAACTTTCCTACAACCAAGGATCACCCATAAAATTATAATGGATGCATCAACATTTGGTGGCTGGGGCGCAATCCTAGGAAAACAAAAATTTTGGGGATATGGAGACCTAATGACCAAGATGCAATTGATCTCCTTGAGCTTAAAGTATTGAGACTTGCACTCAAAACATTCCAGGACAAAGGAATACATTTCCACAAAGGATATATCATTTTTCAAGTGACAATATGACAGCAGTCACATATACAAACAAAGCCTGAGGAATGGTTAACAGGCTCAACACAGAAGCAAAAAACTTATGGAACTATCTTGAAAGCCACCAAGCAATGGCAAAAGCAATATATATACCATCAGCGCAAAATCCAGCAGATCAGTTAACCAGAATTCTCTCAAGATACCAAGCTAAAAATCTTGACGCAGAATGGAAATTGACAGACCAATACTTCAGTACAGCCTGCAATTATTTCAAATTTTATCCAACAATTGATTGGCTTGCTACCACAGTAAACACACAAATACCACAATTTTGTTCATGGTACTTTAAAGATCAAGCTGTATATACTGACGCCTTTCTGCAGAATTGGAATAATGAAATTGGATTATTCTTCCCTCCGTTTGCCTTATTAACCAGGGTAATACAAAAAATCAAGAAGGAACAAGCAACAGGGATCCTTGTACATCCAAACTGGCCATCCCAACCTTGGTGGCCCATTCTTCTACAAAATAGTTCAACATACCTGGACCTCCCAAACCTAGCAGAAGCTCTCATACTACCACAAAATCCTACTGTTTGCCACCATCTCAGGAAATCAACCCTGCAAGTGTCCCTTTTTCTGCACAACAGCTAGACAACATTGTACAAAAAACAATAGCAGCAGCTAGAGCAGAAACAACGCAAAAACAATATCAAGGAATTGTGGCAAAGTTTTTAAATTTTGCCAATTGAAATGGACAAAATGTACAAACAATTACATTGGATACATTCCTGAGATTCCTTGCTGTATATACCGCAATACTGCAAAAATATACCTTTGGTTATATACAACAAATGAGAGCAGCAATCACCCAATGGTTTGCAGAAAATTGGAAAAAATGAGTCATTGACCAACAAAGACTGGACCAATTCATGAAGGGAGCAAAAAGAACATCCAAAAACTTTGAACCAAAAATGTCAGTTTGGGATGCAGACGTTGTATTAAATTATATACGTCAATGCCAACTCCCAACTTCCATCTTGGAGCAGGCAAAGGAAACCTTGCTGATACTAGCTCTGACCACAGGACTACGGGTGGACAATATATCTAAACCAGGAAAAGATTTTTGGCAAGAAGGAAACAATCTGTTTATCCCTTTCCTATAGATGCAAAAGACATCAGCAGCAACACCACAAACTTGACAGGGCATTCGTCTAGCACCATATATGATGGATCAGCGTATATGTCCAATCAATCTTGTAAAAAGATATGTACAAATGTCAACCTTCAACAAAAGATCCTCATATTTATTTGTAAGGGCTGATAATGGCCAGCAAGTGAAAAAAGCAACACTTTGCCAATGGCTCATAAAAATCTTAGCTGAACTGGGCATTAATGATATGCCTGGATCAACAAGATCAGCAGCTTCAAGTTTTGCTTGGGCCAAAAATAGATCTTTTGACTCAATCGCAAAACTCACAGGATGGAAAAAGGAAACAACCTTCCAGAAGCACTATAACAGGCAGCTTACAAAGAGGGGACAAAATCTAATGGACCCCCCAACACCCAGCAGCAGCTGCGCCCCAGGCACTTCCAGGCACACACCCATTGATGGGCCAAAAATAGATTTGACGGCGCGTTTTTCTCAAAAATCTTCCTTAACTTTAAAACCTGAGATTGGCAATAAAACCATTTGAAACAGGAAGAGAAAAACAGTGCTGGTCCCTGGGGATGCAATTGCAATGCAAACCCAAGCTTGCGTAGCAAATCTCAGCACTTTGGAAAAGCAGTGACAAGTGTTTTACAACAGCTGCGGCAGCTGGTTTCTTGTTGAAGTGTGAATAAAATGTTTTCTGCCAAAACAGTTGGAAAGCACTTCTTTCCTTTCTTACAAGTAAAAGAAAGTCACAACAACATCCTGTTGAAACATTTGACAGTTTTCTACTGCAGCAGCAGAAAAAATATCTTGGACTTTGAATCCAATTCTAAAGATTTGCAGTGAAGAGAATTAGTTATGGTGTAGTAACAAACCCCCAGGCAAGGGCACCGTTAGCCTGGGGAAGGTTACTACTTACCTAACTCAATTCTCTTCACTGTCCCAAATCTATAAATAATCCCAACCCATCCCTCTGTAAAAAGCGGATCCAGGTCCAAGATCCCGCTAAAACTCTGAGGGTGGGGGATCCTGGTAGCTACATATGAGTCAGTATTTGCAGTGAAGAGAATTGAGTTAGGTAAGTAGTAACCTTCCCCAGGCTAATGGTGCCCTTGCCTGGGGGTTTGATATTTTGTGGGCTTATTTCTAATTTTTGATGAACTGGAGAACCAATTAAATGAGTCACCATTGAAGTGTATTGGAAAACAATATCACTGTTTTCCAGCACCAATCCAGGATGGAAATCCACCCACTTGTGTCCAGCAAGGGATAGTGACATAAGTTTAAATCTTGGATGACAACAGCCATCTTTCTATTCTGATGCAGCAAAGTCAGGATTTTTCCGGCACAGTGGTGCATTTCAGTTTGATGGAAGGTCACCAAAATGTGCATGGCTTGAAAAGGCTTCAGCAGTTGGGCAAATTTGGGAAGGTTAAAACCTTTTGTTTTCAGAAATATCAAATGCTAATAAGCCTTAGCTGGAAGAAATGCCACCCAGGATGTGTTTTCTTTCTGCAAACAAGTTCTGCCACCCAAGAAAAAAATATATTGTACTCGTTCTTGATGACTTCTTCACCATTGGGTCTCACTTGATTTTTTGCAGTGCCCCTTCATGGACACAACATTTTTCCAAAATATTGAATAAATGAATAAATAAATAAATAGATAAGATTTAAAAGCCACTTATTTGGGTTTAGACTGCCCAACACCCATGGAATAACTGGGTTTTGGATGAGAAAGAGATAAGATGTAATATATCTTGGTGGTGCTGGTGAGAATATCGGTGAGTATATTGGTCAAGAGGTTAATGACAATTCCCTTTCTTCCGTTGGCTTGTGCTGCTACCAGCTTTGTACAGCCCACTGTGTTATGGTATTTGATTTCACCGACTGAACCATATTGTATTCCCCATATAGTTTTACAACGGCTGTGCTGGGAATCCCGATGAATTGTTGGCGCTGTTCCACGGAGACAACACCCGGTCTCGGGAGTGCGTGACCTCCAGCTGCAACCAAATGCTGGTGCACTTCCACACCGACGCCGACGATGGCACCAAGGCGGACCAGAGATCCGGTTTCATGGGCTTCATCCGCCAGGCCACTGACACCAATGACTTGTGCAAATGTAACTGAACTTTCCATAGCCCAGAAATACATCCTGCTCACATGCGTATACGAGGCCTTCTGAAAATACTGCATTCATCTCCGCGAAAACAGGATTTTCGTTATTACGCCGTGAAAAGATCACGTGTGTTACAGGACTGTATCACCATCATCATCCACTCAAGTCATCATCATCATGGTAAAAAGGCTCGTATAGATCATTCATCGCACCATCATCACAGAAAAATATCTAGATTCTGTTTCTAATTTTTTTTTTCATTTCCGAGGAATAATAAGAAAGCATGAGTTTGATTGAGAGTGAGAGGAAAGGAAAAGAGAGATGAGAGAGGGAGAGATAAATAAGGATTAAATATCCACGAGTGATTGCAGTATCGAATTTTTCAAGTTGTACAGCCGCGGTCGAAATCTCACACCACAGTATACGGAAACAAAGTCGGCATTTCTTTTTGTTTTTTTTGTTTTTGCACTCGTTATGTTGGGTGGATAATTTTTTTCTTATTTTTTCTTCATTTTTTACGATGTTTCTGGCAATAAAGCAATGCGACGATCGATGCCAAAACTGGATGGGTTTTTTTTTTTCAATAAATTCCAAGGGGTTCGTGTGACTTTTCACTGACATTGGAGCGTTTATTTTTTTAACCGTTTTTTCTTTTACGTTGGGAACAGACGCGAACCCTTCTCAGTGATAGATTGCAGATTATGGTTTAAGTATAATGTAGTTTACGGGACATTTTTGAAGTCTTCACATAATAATCGAAGAATGGGTATATTTTTTGTCCCACTTTGAAGAATCCAAAATATACAGTATACAGTAGATGAACAAGAGAGGAAAGTAACCCAAAATGTAAGGTTCACATGAATCACATCATAGTCATCAGATATTACCACACCAGGTTCTATGCACGGCTTTTTCCTGCTACAGTATAATAAATATTGTATTTACAGTAAACTACTGTTACAAAAAACCGTTGGACGAACCAGGAAAAAAGCTTAAAAAAACCTTTTTCATAAAAAATTATGACAAAAATCCATTTGACCGGAGCTTAATAAGCAAATGTGTTGTAAGCAATTTTTTTAAATACTGTATTTGATTTGCTTCTGAGATAGACCTGAAAATGATTGTTTGGGTTACAGGATGTCATATTGAATTGCAATTGAAATTGTCATGTAGCCTATTATATCGAATAGCTTTATTCAAATGATACTTTATGAAGAAATGTCGGTAGTTCGAGTCTTCAACAATATCGAGTTTTTCGAGCAAAACAAAAGCGGTGCAAAACGCAGAAAAACCGCGTGAACCGAAGCTCGTAAACATGAAAAGTTTCATCTGCATCAATCATTTAGAAAATTGACCAAGGCTAAATAAATAATACCCTTACTTAAACCCTTCATTGATGCTTTAACCTTTGGAATATGATGATCAGCGAATAATGAATCAACTGCGCCTCATACACGGCAGTTCCGCTTTTTATTCTGGAATGATTTATCGCGAGTTTTAGGTGCTGGTGGTAGATTATTGTTTTCTTTTTAAACAAATAATTGTGGGTATATATTTAATTTTCGAACACTGGAAACCCGTTGAACCAGTCCTATTGATGGAAGTGGGACGGAAAATCAGGAAATAATGTTTTGTGCGTTTCGGATTCAATATGCGTAGGACTCTCTGTATTCGCTTCATTCGGTCGGGTGAAGTCGACTAGAACTCTTCTTTGTGTACAGGGTGCTCACAAACAATGGAAAGCATCCGTGTGAAGTGCTGAAGAAATTTTATCTCAACATTATTGCGTGGCTTCCAATGATTTTTTTTTTTAGCTGTTGTCAATGTATGAGCACTCAAAATCCCCAATTGTGTCTCCGTGAAATTCTCGCATTATTCGAAAAATGTTTTTCAGACTTTCATCCTTCATTAGGACTGAGTATTTATTTGCATCAATTTGCGAACCGTTAATAGTAACAATAACAGTTTCTCCACATACGAAGGTGAAGTTAGTTAGAAACCGTTGCGATTTTATATTTACATTTAATTACTATGGTCATTAAAATTAGGTGGTAGGAATGAAACCAAATTGATCCGTTAGGCATGGATTAAACTAAAAATGATCAAATGAAGATTTTAAATCAGATCTCATCACACAGTTGGATATTCGTATTCTGACGAGTTTCATTAAAATTAGGTGGTAGGAATGAAACCAAATTGATCCGTTAGGCATGGATTAAACTAAAAATGATCAAATGAAGATTTTAAATCAGATCTCATCACACAGTTGGATATTCGTATTCTGACGAGCGAAAAGGCAAAAAAATCAAAGAAATTTTTAGGGCTATTGCATCGAAGGGATGTAATGAGTCATTTGATGAGAAAATTGAGAAAATGGGTAGGATACAGTTGTTCAAGGCCGCAAGATGATGTTGGAATGTGCTATTTTCGCTCGATATATTTTTCTTGTGGCAAGGGAGGAATTGAAAGATTCAAAATGGCGAGTGATTTGCGCGGCATTTCTGCGTTAATATTTTTGGCGATTTTCTGCGGACTGAGTTACCTTTCTTTCGTTCGGGGTTACCAAGACGAGCCCTTGCTTTATGCGCAATTTCCTAAAGGGTTCTCTTGGGGCCTGGCGACAGCTTCGTATCAAGTGGAAGGCGGATGGAACGAAGATGGCAAGTTGTTTTTTTTTCTGCATGGAACTGTTCTCATAATTTACAATTTAAATATAGACTACACTTTGAAAGACAAATACAATAATTTTCTCTGATGGGAGGGCTGGAGGAGAAATTTGATTTTAGATCCGGTATTTTTTTTTTTCTGCATGGAACTGTTCTCATAATTTACAATTTAAATATAGACTACACTTTGAAAGACAAATAAAACAATTTTCTCTGATGGGAGGGCTGGATCTCTTTAAACTAAAATCTAGGCCATATTTCTGTCACCTAAAGAATAAGTTTTGAAACAACTTAGAACAAGATTTTTTAAGAACGAACGTAGAACTTGAACAGGGTCATCGTGTTACAATAAATTTTATTTCAATATTAAGATTTTTGGTGATTCCAGTTTTTAAGTCGCAATTTAGTGGCTTGATTGATTTTTGAATGATGATGCATGCAAAAGGCAAATAAAAGTATTCAAGGTGAAAATCCGGCTAACTTTAAGAATAATGACCACTTGAGTGCAGAATGTGTGATTATATAGCTTGAGAAATATAGACAGTGTTTTTTCACTTTACAGAATGTAATTTTGTAAAACTCGCATTGAATATTTCCATTTAAATATATGCGGTAAATAAAAAAAGCTTTTTCAAGACTGCAAACTCTTTGGTTATGAAGGACTTTTACTGTGCAGGTGGTACCTCGCAATTTGACGCCCTGCAATTTAACCATCCCACAATTTGACAGTGAGATTTGCTGGATTGTCAAATTGTATTTTGACCTCTTATTGCTCCACAATTCAGTCTGCAGAGAGACTCAAAATGTCTAATATGATGCAGAAAACTTTAAATTTGACATTGTCTCACAATTCAAACACTTTGAAATTCGACCTTTACCCAGCAACAGATTGGGGTTGAATTTTGGGGCACTGCCTTTATTTATTAGTAAAAATTTAAATCTTATGCATGACTGATCCCAGTGTACATAACTTGATTTAAATAAATAAAATGCTGAAAATCACAATTTTCAAGTATATTACAGGCAAAACTTGCATGTCTAATTTAAATTGCGTAACACATATACTGTGCGTCGAATGAATATGTATTTTTAAACTATCCAATTTAAGCGCTGCTGATGAATGATTGAAGTTTATCAGGTAAACATGGTAGTAAGCAAGTTACTGCTGCATATTTACCAGACAGAAATACTGTAGTTAATTATAAACTGGTCAGGTTATTATCTTAATTTTTACTCTTCTTGTCTTGAACAAATGTTTTCTAACGTATATATTTCAGTTTTGAGGAAATTGAAATTTGTGACCTGCTTCTGTTTAAAAAACTTTTCATTTTTCCACGAATTGATTATAATTTTTTTTTCTGCAGGAAAAAGCCCCAGCATATGGGACACTTTTTCGCAGAGCAACCAGGGGCACATAGTTGACAATTCAACAGGGAATGTTGCATGTGACAGTTACCACAAAATGGAGGAAGATATTGCCTTGCTTAAAAACATGAAAGTGGGTTTTTCTATTTTTCTTTTCAAGGGATGTTCAGGCACTTGATCATTCTGTCAGCCCTGTGGCAGATGATGTTCTTGTCAGGCAACTGTTTTTTTTTTTTTACTTCTAAGGTGAACCATTACCNATACCCTTACTTAAACCCTTCATTGATGCTTTAACCTGTGGAATATGATGATCAGCGAATAATGAATCAACTGCGCCTCATACACGGCAGTTCCGCTTTTTATTCTGGAATGATTTATCGCGAGTTTTAGGTGCTGGTGGTAGATTATTGTTTTCTTTTTAAACAAATAATTGTGGGTATATATTTAATTTTCGAACACTGGAAACCCGTTGAACCAGTCCTATTGATGGAAGTGGGACGGAAAATCAGGAAATAATGTTTTGTGCGTTTCGGATTCAATATGCGTAGGACTCTCTGTATTCGCTTCATTCGGTCGGGTGAAGTCGACTAGAACTCTTCTTTGTGTACAGGGTGCTCACAAACAATGGAAAGCATCCGTGTGAAGTGCTGAAGAAATTTTATCTCAACATTATTGCGTGGCTTCCAATGATGGTTTTTTTTTTAGCTGTTGTCAATGTATGAGCACTCAAAATCCCCAATTGTGTCTCCGTGAAATTCTCGCATTATTCGAAAAATGTTTTTCAGACTTTCATCCTTCATTAGGACTGAGTATTTATTTGCATCAATTTGCGAACCGTTAACAGTAACAATAACAGTTTCTCCACATACGACGGTGAAGTTAGTTAGAAACCGTTGCGCTTTTATATTTACATTTAATTACTATGTTCATTAAAAATAGGTGGTAGGAATGAAACCGAATTGGTTCGTTAGGCATGGATTAAACTAAAAATGATCAAATGAAGATTTTAAATCAGATCTCATCACACAGTTGGATATTCGTATTCTGACGAGAGAAAAGGCAAAAAAATCAAAGAAATTTTTAGGGCTATTGCATCGAAGGGATGTAATGAGCCATTTGATGAGAAAATTGAGAAAATGGGTAGGATTTAGTTGTTCAAGGCCGCAAGATGATGTTGGAATGTGCTACTTTCGGTCGGTATATTTTTCTTGTGGCAAGGGAGGAATTGAAAGATTCAAAATGGCGAGTGATTTGCGCGGCATTTCTGCGTTAATATTTTTGGCGATTTTCTGCGGACTGAGTTACCTTTCTTTCGTTCGGGGCTACCAAGACGAGCCCTTGCTTTATGCGCAATTTCCTAAAGGGTTCTCTTGGGGCCTGGCGACAGCTTCGTATCAAGTGGAAGGCGGATGGAACGAAGATGGCAAGTTGTTTTTTTTTTTTCTGCATGGAACTGTTCTCATAATTTACAATTTAAATATAGACTACACTTTGAAAGACAAATAAAACAATTTTCTCTGATGGGAGGGCTGGAAGAGAAATTTGATTTTAGATCCGGTATAAAGACAGTGGATTTCTTATTCAAAACTTTGTTGAATCTTGTTCCAAAAAATTCTTGCTTGCATCTTGAACTTGTCCCAGTAGCACAATGTTATTTAAAATTTTCAATATTAAGATTTTTGGTAATGCCAGTTTTTAAGTCGCAATTTAGTGGCTTGATTGATTTTTGAAGGATGATGCATGCAAAAGGCAAATAAAAGTATTCAAGGTGAAAATCCGGCTAACTTTAAGAATAATGACCACTTGAGTGCAGAATGTGTGATTATATAGCTTGAGAAATATAGACAGTATTTTTTTCACTTTACAGAATGTAATTTTGTAAAACTCGCATTGAATATTTCCATTTAAATATATGCGGTAAATAAAAAAGCTTTTTTAAGACTGCAAACTCTTGGTTATGAAGGAATTTTACTGTGCAGGTGGTACCTCGCAATTTGATGCCCTGCAATTTAACCATCCCACAATTTGACAGTGAGATTTGCTGGATTGTCAAATCGTAATTTGACCTCTTGCCCCGCAATTTAGTCTGCAGAGAGACTCAAAATGTCAAATATGATGCGGAAAACTTTGAATTTGACACTGTCTCACAATTCAAACACTTTGCAATTCGACCTTTACCCAGGAACAGATTGGGGTTGAATTGTGGGGTACCACCTATACTTATCAGTAAATATTTTAGCATTAGAACTATAGCATCTATGATCATCAAAATGAAATTACCCGGGCCAAATCTCATGCCTGACTGATCCCAGTGTACGTAACTGTATTTAGATAAATAACAAACTGAAAATCTCAATTTTCAAGTATACCGTTACAGGCAAAACTTGCGTGTCTAATTTAAATTGCATAAAAAGAATACTGTGCATCAAATGACTACATATTTTCTAACTATCTGAATAATATTAGGTCAGATGAATGATTGAAGTTTATCAGGTAAACATGGTAGTAAAAGCAAGTTACTGCTGCATTTATGAGACAGAAATACTGTATTCAATTATAAAATGGTCAAGTTATAAGCTTAATTTTTACTCTTCTTGTCTTGAACAAATGTTTTCTAACGTATATTCCACACTTTTGGGGAAGTTTAAATTTGTGACCTGCTTCTGTTTAAATCTCATTTTCCCACGAATTGAATCTCAAAAAAAGACGTCCTTTTTCGGGGTCGTATACCCTGTGAAAAAGCGTCTCGTTGGTCCCCGTGTATCAACTGTTAAGTTGTCCCTTACAACGTACACTGTCAATGGTGTTTTACCTCCTTCTATAACCCTTGCTTAAAAACATGAAAGTGGGTTTTAACATTTTTCTTTCCAAAGGATGAACAGGCACTTGATCATTCTGTCAGCCCTGTGGCAGATGATGTTCTTGTCAGGCAACTGTTTTTTTTTTTTTTACTTCTAAGGTGAACCATTACCGGTTTTCAATTGCATGGACAAGAATTCTTCCTGGGGGCACAGGAGTTGTTAACCCTTTGGGTGTCAAGTACTACAACAGAATGATTGATGCATTACTGACAGCTGGGATAAAGCCTATGGTGATGTATTGTTTTATTTAATCATTGTCACATCTTTTTGAAGTATAATATTTACTTGAGTACCACATGCACTCAAGTATAAGACACACACGTTAGATTTTTAGGTATAATTTTTGAAAAAAGTGTTCCCCCATATCCCCATTTCCCCACATATAGGATATGTACTGTAGTTCTCAGCCAACAAAATTCCTATTTGAAAAACTACGTGTTGGACTAAAATTTAACTTGTAGGCCCACTCAGAAATGAAATTTGACAATGATTTTCAAGTACTTTTAAGAATATGATTTTTAGATACTAATATGATTAAAATACAGTCAACCCCCATCTAACGGACTTGATTCGTGCAAGGGACAAGTCTGTCAGACAAAAAGTCCTTTACACGAATTCAATTACATAAAAATTGAAAATTTCAAATTTCAACACCAATTTTAAACTAAAAGAAGTCTGTTTGGTGGATTTTGTCTGTTGGGCGGGAGGAAAAGCTGCTTGCAGAGCTGGTCTGTTTGGCAAAAATCCCTTACATGGGAGGTCTGTTAGGCAGGGGGCCACTGTATTAGCTCTGAAAGAAGATTTGAATATTGGGAATATGGGAATACAGGATTTTTTACGTTGCAGAATTGTATGCCCCATGATTTGTGCCTCATTTTTGCTCCAATTTATTGGGGGGTGCACTTGATGCTCAAGTAAATACATTACACTCTTTATAGTTAAGTTGAATTGAATTGAACAGCAAGCTTCATTTTCTGCATTTCAGCATCACAAGTTTCAAGCATTGTTCCTGCATCCAAACCTCCTCCCCTCCCCACCCATTCACATTTATCCAAACACATTCCATCACATCAGAATGGAAGATGGCAAAATAAGCATCCCAAAATGTACAATTGAAATACTGATGTAAATACATACACTTTCTTCCATTCACTGATTTAAAAAAAGTCAGCATTATAAATTGCAGCATATCAGACAATTACTGATCCCAATTTAAAGCACAATAAGGTGTTCAGCCTGCTCCCAGATAAGGTTTAGCAGATGAGACAATTTGGATAGAATCTTTGACAATAAATCATATAAATTTAACAGGAGCAATTTATAGTCAAGTCAAGTAATCTTATTTTGTTCTCTTTGTATACATTCACACAGGTGACATTGTACCATTGGGACTTGCCACAAGTGCTAGAAGACAAAGGAGGATGGTTGTCACCTCAGAGTGTGAACTGGTTTGAGGAGTATGCCGCTGCTTGTTTCAATGCTTTTGGAGACAGGGTGAGTAAAAAATAAATCAAGATTATTTTTAAACTTCACTATAGGACGGAAACGTTAACATTCAATTCATCTGTGTAAATTTTCACGAGGCTGACTCACAAAAGCAAATGGCCAACATTTTCACAAATTTGTGACCCTATATATTCTTCAATAAATGCTTATTTCTGCGTTATTTTCCAGGTAAAATTGTGGATAACATTCAATGAACCCTGGGTCATTTGCGTACTTGGGTACGGTACTGGAGAACATGCCCCAGGGAAGAACCTGATTGGAACTGGTCCTTACCAGTGCGCCCACAACGTAATCAGGGCTCATGCCAAGGCTTTCAGGCGCTACAACAAAGACTTTCGATCTTCTCAAAAGGGTGAACGACCTGCTGCTCAAAATATGTTTAAATTATAAAAATGATGTTAATGGACCTCTAGCACATTTAAATGATGTTTCTCAATGGGCTTTGACTGCTGCTATTAAATTTTGACTACAGATTGTGGATTCAGGAGTGATGCCAATGCCTATAGGAGGTTATTTTATTAATCTTTATATTCTTCAATCTACGTTTCTGCTTGAATTATAGCTGGAATTTTCTGCTTTGAAAATAGGTTAAAAGCGTTTTAAGCATTATTAATGCATTTAATCATTCTTATCTTTCGATTTTAATAATTTTTCATTGTTAATCTTGATCAGTCTTTATTACAATTATTTTCAAGAATGTATCATAGGAAATTGGATTTTGGAAGGAATATGTATAGAACATAGAACAAAGTAGCAATTTAACACAGCTTTACATAACTAAGTTAAAAGAATTTTCTGATGATGGATTTCTCCCCTGTAATGTAATAGATTGAGTCCATGTCCATAGATACCATATGGTATCATTAAAAAAAAGGGTTATACTTATATTTCATATGATTTCCAATTTTTCCTGGCAGGAGAGGTTGGCATAACATTGAACTCAAATGCTGCTCTCCCAGCTACAAATTCATCTGCAAATTTCGAAGCTGCTGACAGAGAAATGCAATTTTCTGTTGGCTGGTTTGCTCATCCTATTCTACTTGATGGAGATTATCCGAATGTCATGAAACAGCTGGTATGTAATATATTGTACTTGCGAATATGACATTCATGTGAATTCTTATGAATATTTTTAAAATAAAGCCATGCGGGGATCTTTTGAAAAACCTGCATTAGAATAAAATTGAATGAGACCTAAGTAACAAAATTTTCATTATATACAGTGAGACCCCAAGATGCGGACATAATTGGTGCATCAAGAGTGTCCCTAAGTTGAATTGTCCCTAAGTTGAGTCTTGTTTTCCCATAGACATACATTATATAATTTTAATTGGTGTTTTATGGAAGAAATATTCTTCAGAATTCTCCTTAAAAAAATTGTTTGCCACTTGAATTTGAATTAGTGAATACATTTTCAACTCATTAAGAACATTTGAAGCATTGAATAGTGTATCTTTTTACTGTACATTGAAATTTTGGCATCTACAAAAATAACAATCAATTGAGAAAAAAGTAGAAGTCCCTCTATGCTGGAGGTAATTTTTTTAATTAGCTAAAATGATGGTAAATTTGTGAGAGAAATGCCCAATA